GAAGGTGTCCCTGCCCATGGCAGGGGGGGTGGAACTAGATGGTCTTTAAGGTCCCTTCCAACCCAAACCATTCTGTGATTCTGTGATTCTTGCACAGCCATTTTTTCTTTTGAGTTTAGAGGTTGTTAAAGAAAATAGGGCATTTAAAGGTTCTATGAAAAATGAAAGTATTTACTCCCTGGCAGCTCTTCCATACCAATGACTGGCAAAGTCATCACACCCTGGAGGTGTTGATGTTATTTGTGTGCACTTCCCTGGTTCCATGCCCAAGACTGCTGACAGGCGGTTTGTTTCAATCACCTGGTGCCCTGTGATAGACAAAGAAGCCCAACCTCAGTGCCAGTCAACGGTACTGTTTCCTTTCTGTGTTTGTTAAGCTCTGACAATAGCTCAGAATGGAGCATACAAAAATTTCAAAGGTGGTGGCGTCAGTTCTGAAGTTTCAAGCTTTATGTAATTGTTCTCTTGGAAAAGACCTCGAGAGGGTGGGGGAGGCTGCAAGAATATCCATCATGGTTGATTAGCAATCAACTCTGATTTGTTCTATTTTAATTGTGTCATGTAAATAATCAGCATGTGTTACTCAGCTGATAGTAAACCTTAAAATGCTTTTTTTCAGGATTAACCACAATGAGCGTTTAGAATTTCTGGGAGATGCTGTGGTGGAGTTCTTAACAAGGTAAATGGGGAATTCTTCAGCAGTCCTCACCTTTTTATGTTACTGTCATACCATTCGGCTTATTCAGCTTTGCAGTCTCTATGTTATGGCTGTGTATGTTTGCAGTCCTGCCTGAATTTAGAGCTGCACATCTGCACACAGCTCTCTTGAAAATACCTTGAGTGCTGATTATACATTAAGGAAGATTACAAAATGAAAGACTAGAGTTTCTGTTTCATTTAGTGCAATTTTAAGTTGACTGGGGTTAGAGATTATTCAGCTACCGACAAGTTGAACTTCATACCCCTTTTTTTTTAAAGGAAAGATATTTTTCTTAGCGTGCCATTTTGTTTTTGTGGGTTCTTTTTCTCTAATTGCAAGTGAAAAGCATTTATTGGTAATATTGAATGTGTCGCAGTTTTTATATTTCCAGTTATTAGCTTCCATAATGTTTGTATGTAAATAAAATAATTGAGCACAAATGTAATTTATTGAGAAGCAATAATTAATATGGTTCATGAAGAATTGCTTCAGTTTTGGTCTCTTGCATGTTCTGAAATCAGTGAACGATACAGGGATATTATCAGTTACTTCCATTGGCGTCTGAGTACTACAGGCAGGCAGTTTGCACAAAGTAAAGATTATAATCCATTTTCAGCTGCTTTGTTCTACTTTTTTTAATAGCTGAGTACTCTTGTACACCTTCTCTGTAAGCAATTTTTCATATGAATAACAAAACTGCCCTTGTATACCCATTCTCTACTAGCCGCTATGAGCCATTAGATACTCAGTATTAAAAGCTATTAGTCTGTAAAGGTCCATACTGCCCTTAAAACCCGTGGCCTTTTCTCTCATACCACGGTACAGGCTGATAAGATGGAGGACTTGCCAAATAAAATGTCTTGTATTTTTCATTGTCATTGTTCATCAGCCATCAGTTGACTTTCTGAGCTAACTTCTGTCTCGATTCAGAACAAAACTGCGCTACATTTCTGTTCAGTAGAGCACTTGACCACCTCTTTAAGTCAGATTTTTATTTCTACCTGTTGATTTCAGGTCTCTTCTTTTGTGAATTATGATGCTTGATTAGATTGCCTAAGTTTTATAGCCGTTTTTGTCCTTAAATAATATCGCATCCATCTGCACTTTTCTCCCTGTGTACTGGGTTAATAAAATATTTAAATAATTAGTGCTATGCACTGCCTTATATGTGGGATGTTGACAACCCCCCCTGTATTAACTTCTTTGAGCTGGGTTATGTGAAGATATACACAGTCATTTATCCGTTACTCAGACTTTGGCTGGATTACTGAATAACTATTTTTGGGGAGTTTCTGTTTTATGAAGTATCTTACTTGCATGATGACAAATATCATTAAAGGCAGTTGAAAGCCTGTGGTTTTTTTTTTTTCCTGTGGTATTAACGACTTCTCACATTTGATAAATACAGGTTGTTGAGTTCTGTTCTTTGGCTCCATTAGCACCTGTTAAAGTACTGTGAGAAACTTGTAAAACAAACATCCTGAGTGCTGGTGGTCCAGCCTGAATCTGTAGTACCACCTTAAAGCGCTGTACAGCTGTGGCACAGAGCTTCTCAAGGCTGAGGGTTCCCTTGTCCTTCCTTCCTCAGCATCCTCTGGGTGTCAACCTGGCTGAGCCCACTGCAGCTGATGGAAACCTTCAGAAAGCGAGCTGCGTGTCGCTGCGGGGATTTAGGAGTTATGTGCTGCCCAGCGGAGAAACAGCATGCTTCCTCCCCTGCTGCCCATGCTATTCGGTTAAAAATATTACTGGGTGCTGTTTTAATGTTTGTTTCTTCACCTGACTTTGAGCTGAATTGCCACCTCGGGAAGGGGCCTGTGTTACTAGCTTGGATCTGAGGGAAAGGTGCTGTTCCCTGGAGGCACACGTGGTTCATCTTTAACCAAATGCTGACAACATCTGACTTGGTTTTTGTTTTGCCAGTGTCCACTTGTACTACCTGTTTCCTACTCTGGAGGAAGGAGGATTAGCTACGTACCGCACTGCCATTGTACAGAACCAACACCTGGCCATGTTGGCTAAGGTAGAGTTTTATACATCTGTGTTTTTGAAACCCTTGGTAGGATACTGTTGGTGCGCCTGTTGCTTCTTGAGGCATCTGCCTGCTTTGAGCATCAGTGTCCTTACTATGTTTTGTGTACAAAATTTGGGATACAGGAACTCTCTTCAGTTTGAAAATAGATTTTTAAAGATTAAAGCGTTGATCTGCTTGAGGCTAGAAAGGCTCTACAGAGGGATCTGTAGATATAGGCTCTCCGGGCTGGATCGATGGGCTGGGGCCAGCTGTATGAGGTTTAACCAGGCCAAGTGCCGAGTCTTGCACTTGGGTCGCAACAAACCCGTGTAATGCTACAGGCTTGGGGACGAGTGGCTGGAAAGCTGCCTGACAGAAAAGGACTTGGGATTGTTGGTTGTCAGCCAGATGAATATGAGCTGGCAGTGTGCCCAGGCAGCCCAGAAGGCCAATGGCATCCTGGCCTGCATGAGGAACAGTGTGGCCAGCAGGAGTAGGGCAGTGACATGGTGGACTTGGCAGTGGTAGGTTAACAGGTGGACTTGATGATCTTAAAGGTCTTTTCCAACCTAACGATTTTATGGTTCTGTGAAGTAGGACTTAGTGTTTACTCCAAAGGATGTTTTTAGGAGGAGTAATTTTTGCAGAAGGCTAAGTTTTTAGAATGTTTATGTTGGTGTCTCTATGTTTACCTTTGAGTTGTGCTGATAATAAAGTTGGTAGGAGAAATTTAGTGAAGAAAAGAAACAAATTGTTTATAAAACAGCTTCCTGATAGAGTATGTACGTAAAAAAAATGGCAGCAGGTTGTAGAGAAATTGGGGGAAAAAATACTTTTGCCCCCTAACCTTACTTAAGCAGTCATTTTCATATTTGCTGTAAACTGTGAAAGAGAAGTATGTTAGGCTTTAGGTGAAAAGTTGTATTATATCATAGAAAAAATTGTAATGCCATTGAAATTTGTTTAATTTCATTTTGCGTGTGACAGCTTTTTACTTTGCTGTATGATACTGGGGGACAAGAATGTGACGTAGAAAGTTAAATAAGTCTCTATTAATAGATAATTTGATACTGCCTTATTCATATTTGATTTCGTTAACATGTTTTTAAAAACCATTCTGATGCTGACTGGTATAGTGTATTAGGCTGTGCATACATGTTTGTGTGAACACATGTCCATGGTGTATTGCTGATAGTTTTCAAGTCTCTCTTAATCTTCTCTGTTCATAGTCATGCAGTAATTTTAACAAGTATATCCAGCCTTGAGATTTTGGCAAAAAGTGACTGATTTCTAGCATGTCATCTTTTTGCCCAGTTCTCAGGAGAAGGGTAGGGAGTGAACGCAATGATTTTCCTCCAAAGCTTTCTGTAATGATTTAGATAAGCATGAATTGATTGAAATGCTTCAAACCAGGCTTTTGTTTACAAATATGGTATTGATCTGCTTTACATTAGAGTTTACGTTATTTTTTTTAAACCTGCATCAGGAAAGCTTATATATTCTTAGACCTTTGTTCACAGACTTCATCATTGTACATGGATTGTTCATGGATTTGTGAAAAAAATTTACTGTAGCATATTCTAAACTGTATTTATTTATATGGATATAACTTGAAATACTAAATATCTATACTTTCCTGATTTTCCAATCTACCCTTTTTTCCTCTTGAATATACTGTACAGCCATCCTGTTTTCATTCCCTTTAATTATCCCTTGCAGTATCGTGCTGCATTCAGTTTAGGTCCTCAATACAATTCTCAGCTCCTCAACTCCTCTTGTGTATGTGGAATGTTGTTTTCTGTAGCTTCTAAGGGACATGATACCAAAATTTTAAATAATCTGAAACATTTTGTGATCAAAAAATGAGAAGCAAAACACATGCAAAATATGCTGAATACAAGCTCTGAAAATGGAGATATAAGCCATTGGAGGTTGGGGAGACATACCTACACTCAAACAACACCTGTTAACTTGAACAAGTTACAGTGATCTGTAAGAGGTTTAGGTTTTATATAGAACAATTAATGTTCCACTTTCATGTTGACTCCAATGAGTGCTCCCCACAGTGTGATGGAACATTGTAGTGGTAATTCCCTGTGTTCTGGAGCAGTGAGCAGGCTCTCATGCATTGAAAATGGAAGACTGCTTTTTTCCAGTTGAAAGGTGTCTAAACCAGGCATCTCAAACAACTTAGTGTCCACTTCTACTGCTTAAATATACTCCAGGAGGATAGAGTTGAAAATTAATGAGAAATTAGTAGAAGCTTACACCCAGTTGGGAAGAACCTATTCTCATAGAAACTTTGAAAGATGCGCAAAACTCTTTAAAAAAAATCTCAGTAATGGTTTTGTGTCAAAAAGTATTTCTTGCCTGCATTTCTATAGCAGAATTATTATATATAGGATATCTGGCTCGCCACCTGACATTCTGCCTGGCAAGCAGAGCTGTGGTTCAGGCCACAGATAAATATTAATGATGCACATTTGAAAGGACGAAGAAAGCTAGATGGCACTGCAGGTTAAAATATCAGTCTTCTGCTTGCAGTGCCCAGAGGCTTTTTGTTACTGCCACCTGTTGGCACTCTTAGAAGGAAAAGCCAGATGTTCGGTGGGTTGTGTCTGCCAGAGCTCTGGTTCCTCACTGTTCTGCTCTATCTTCTTCTTGTAGGCAAAAATCTTTTTCCTCAGTGTTAACTCCTCTCCGTTTGAATATTGCTTTGGCATTTCTGAAGGCAAATCACACCAGGGCGAACTGTCAGCAAGAAGCACAGCACATTGCACCATCCAGCCAGTATCAGGCTATTTTTCTGTCACACCTTCAGCCCTCCTCTCAAACTCATTCCTAAATCTCACTAGCAACATGTTTATGTCTGTCTTCCTTTGACAGTTTGGTTTGATAATTCCTGCCTTTCCCATGCTGTCACACTCTAGTTGCTTGCTTCTGATAAACAAATATGAAGTCTTCTAATTTCAGCCTATGTCTGAACAGAAACTATGGAGAGAAGCTTTAAAGTTCCCTCAAACCCTCATAATAATACTGTATTTGAACTCCAGTGACTAGAACTAAGTTCAACTCTTATACCTGTAAAACCATGGTTTTAACTCTTTCCACATACTCTGCAGAAGCTGGAACTAGATCGATTTATGCTTTATGCTCATGGTCCAGACCTTTGCAGGGAATCGGATCTCCGCCACGCCATGGCCAACTGCTTTGAAGCCCTAATAGGTAAAGCATGTGTTTTTTTGTGTGCAGACAGTTATGCTTTAATATGTCTACATGCCATGTTGATGGTGATGGATGAGACGTGGGTCTGTGCTGAGTAATGACAGTAAGGGCATGCAATAGTAAAGCTGCTTACATCTTAGCCTCTTCCTGTCTCCTGCACATATGCCATGTGTACAACATGAGGGGTGTGGAGTATTACAATGAAAATCTCATGTTCTGTATCCTGCCTCCATGCACTGAAGATGCACCTATTTTGTCCTGTTGTGGGGCAGAACTCCACTTCTCTTGTGCCACTGTGGCCTGCCACTCGCAGTCCTCTGTGGGGTGGTATTTCGGTCACCCTGGCATGGCAGGAAAAGTGCAGGCTCACTGCTTCCAACAGTACTTGCGCAGACCTGCAAAATACGAGTCCCACTTCAGCCCTGGGTTTTAAACTCTGTAGCGTGCTTTCTGAATACACCAGGCCCTCCAACCAAGCCACCAGCCTGCTTCCTCTGTGCCGATTTAAAAGTGACATTTGAAAAGTAAATATTTTTGGTCTTTGTATTTTCCATACAAATAAGAAGCGTGGTGATATGCCATGGTGGTCTAATAAATCTACCAAACCTTCTAGCTGAGGAAAAAGAGGAATTGCATCAAATCTGCTGTTGGGTATGAGGATGCTCATCAGTGGCTGGCTGTGCTAGTTGATACGTTCATGTTGGACTACGGTTACCAAATAAGGAAGCGGCAAGGTGGAAATCTGATCCATTATATCCACACAAGCTCTATTTTAAATACCATGTTTTACGAAACTACTTGTTTGAATGCACAAAGCACACTAAAGCTCACTGATTTAGCTTCACATTCATCCAATGTAATGTGCATAATATTAACTATGGGAATGATTTAGCCCCGATACAGGTCTTTATGTACTACCTGAACTCCTAAAGCATTTTGCCCTGCTTTTAAAAATAGATCATAGTTGGCTTGGATGTCAACAGTTCTGTGCACTCCACCTTGGGCCAAGTGCATTTCATCTTATCAAGAAGTAAGAGTTTTCTTTTTAACTCTGTTTTGCTTTCCTTCAGTGCTTTGATCTTTGATTTAAAAGAAGAAAAGAAAACAAAACAAAAAACCCAAACCCAAAACAACACCAAACAAACAAAAAGAAAAGAAACAGTAGATATATATCTCTTGCTTTGTTCATATATCTCAGTATATGGGCAAGGTCCTGCACCCATGCACCTGGGTCAGGGCAATCCC